CGTTCCGCACGAAGCTTCAGGTCTTCTAGGCCACGGTCATGCCCTCCCTTCTCTTTTCTTGTGATACGTGGACCCCACGAATGGAACATCTGCGCCGGTTAGAAACACTCAGGCTGGCATGCCTACGATCCGTTCTGGGTTTAACCAGGCTGGATTGTGTGAGGAGCTCACAAATCCTTGAAAGATCTGGACACATTCCCATCAACGAGCTCCCCTGGCAGGTAAGGCTGCGTTGGCTGGGTCATGGAGCCCACATGCCCAGCCACCACATGCCCAAGCATCTTTGGTTCGGTCGGATCGAGGGGCTAAACGGGCGTGGCACGGGCAAGAGAACAGATGGAGTGTTGTAGTACAAGAGGACGTGGAGCTGAATGGACTTGCCGATGACCGGTACCAGCGGTGTCAAGATCGGCCTCTGTGGAGGAGGCTCGTGAAGGACGCTACTGGGCAGTTGGAGGCAGTTGCCCTCCAACAACAACGGAGGGCGGAGAAGCGACGCTCACAACAACGAGCGGAGCGCCGGGTTGCTAAAGCACAGCAAGTTGGAACAATAGGGGGCACAGATGGTACATCAGCCAGTCATCTCAGTCAGTCGACCCGTTTCACCTGGGTCTGCCCCGTGACCTCCTTGCAGCGGGCGTTCAACACTTCACGTGGCCTCAACGTGCACATAGCCTGGCACCGGCGCCGTGGCGACGTCACCGCCACTTAGTGGCGAATGTCAGCAGCTTAGCGGGTAGCGCGGGTAGCGGTTAGCGTGCTGCGCTACGAACCAATCGTCCCGAGTTCAATCCCCGCTCACAGCCAACATCAGTGATGATTATCTAAACCGGTCTTGGGCCTCCCCTGGGTCAAATCGGCCTCAAACGAGTACCGGTATAAACATCGACACGAGCGAGACAAAGGCGGCCGGGCGTTGTGTTGGCCATCCACACTCTCGTGTGCTGTTCAGGCCGTTATTGGTGCTCGAGAACAGCACGTGCCCCAGCAGTCTGTTACGGCTATATGGGGGGCATCTGTGTCAGTGTGTGTCTGCATTGTCTTCATGTTACTATCCGTATGTATCTGTTCTCTCCACGTCAATTCTTGTCGCTGTGTCAGTGTCTGTATGCCGGTGTCTATGTATATGCATCTATATGGTACTTGGGTCTTGATGTCAGTGTCGAAGTCTGGCGTGTATGCGTGTGGAGTGGTGTCATAGTGTGTGGTGCCCTGACTGCTACAATTCCATGCACGTAATTTCAACTGAACCTGCACGGGGTCTCACCTAGGTCGACTCATCCTAAAATGAGTACAGTACCTGCAGAAGTGCATGAGACTATGGAACTTTGTCTGGCATTTGGGAGACAAAACGAATGTTCAAATATTGCTACCCATATTAGTGTCAATCTCTTCAATGTAAATGTGTAATTGCTTAAATGGTTGGAGAAAATGGAATAATATATATCCTGTATATATATGAAAGAAAAAAAACTACTTTGAGAATCATTCAAGTTGGCTTTTTATGAAATCCGAATCGTCGTGGCATGCTCGAATGTCTATCACATCAGTGTTGTACCACTGCACGACTCACTGTCTACACCATAGCCCATCGGCTCCTCTGCAATCATTTCCTTTAAGTCAATGGGATGCACCATGCCTGAATTGTCGGGGACATGCACTGTTGCCGAGATTAATCTGATGAAACTGCAAAATAAAATGTGGTCGTATGTAGTGTGTGGCCAGGGGTGGCTGACATCCAAGAGGGGTGCTGTCACACCTCGTGCACACCGTGACCGAGCAGAGCTCACGGACAGCCCGGCGATGTTGCCTCCCTTCACGCTCTCTCCCTGCACAAAGCTATACACGGCACAAATTCAGCAACACGGGCGCGCCTACTCGGCCTGGCCCTTATATAAGAAGGGAAAAATCTCATATATTGCATGGCTGACTTCTAATCTTTCCTGTTCGTAAGCATTCTCCCATCTTTTGGCTGTGATGGAAGAATTCCCACCGCGAACCCATTTATCTGATGCGACAAGAAACATTATTCCTTAAATGGGTGAAGCCAAGCGTGTTTATTATATATTCCCTTCATTTATTCGCTACTCCCCCCCCCTAACTGGCATACAGTGCTAAGACAATAACATATTTAGAATAGTCCAAATTATTGCTGAAGAATTAGACCAACGCGTGCGACGAGCACTGGAACGTTGCTTGCAATTACCACGTCATTCTGCCAGAACACAATTGCACGCCGCTTAAAGAGGCACATGAGCAGTGCTCTTACGTACACGGGACAGTGTCAACAGTCCCCCCCCCCGATCACCCTCCCAGATAACCCTCCAAGTCACGTCCGACGTTACTGTAATCTGAGAGGTGAATGTTGAATACTCATAGATAACCCAGATGTACCAGTGGCTCGCAGCCACGTGGTAGAAGGAGGATGCTCTGCGTGTCACGGAAGGTAGGCCATGGCACGTGTGCTCTGAAGAACAGCGGATGCCCACCACGTTGTCATCTTATAAAACTTCGTGTATTCAATGGATAATTAAATTAATCTATGACAGTGTTTCCATTGTACAATCTGTATTCGGTGCTGTCTCTGTGGGTCGTGGCTATCAATATTAAAGAGAGTAGGACAATCAGCCTTTGGAGTTCCAGCAGCTGAAGAACTGATTCTATATACAACTCAGCATACGGCTATAACACTGCACACCACACACATTGTGTACGTCTCTGTGTAGATTGGACCACTTTAGCCAATGGCCATCAGTGCCCTCTCATGCAGATTTAGGTATAGCTTATTTAGATTTGTTTTCCTCATTGTTTTGTCTGTTCCCACAATTGTATCCCATTTGTGCTATTTGTGTCATGTCATCAGTGAAGAATCCATTTGGATCTCGACCAAAGCGGTGTTGGAGAACAGCTAGCGTCAGCATTTATCACAGAGCTCCTTCTGAGTTCCTTTCAAGTGACCTGGTCCACACAGTAGGCAGAAGCACTTTCTGACTCGTTCTGTCACTGACATTAATGTCCGTTGAATGGCAGTCAAACCAATCGTTTAAAAATTCTTGGAACCGTAATTCAACCAAATTAGGTGGAGGATCAAATGTTACGTGTTGGATTTTTTAATGCAGTTATTGGTGACCGGGCTGAGACTATCAACTCAATACACTGACTTCTACCCAAAGATCTCAGCGGTGCCAGCTCAGCAATTTGATATCCGAGCCACACGATCCCGTACACTTAAACAAAGTAAAACATAAATCTCAGCAGACGTTCATTCCCGGGAAATAAGTTCCATCCAAAGTCCCAAGTCCACGGACAGCTGACAGCACGACACCGCTACGTCAATGAGGCAGTGGTCACTGATCAATGTGCCTCGCCCTGCGTCACCAGACCCCACCAGAACTCGTAAAGTCCGATAAGGGTAAACTGCCCCCCAGGAGTGAGTAAAATTTTTATTTTGGGCATACAATATTGACTATTTTTACTTTTTACTTTTCTTGCTACAATTGTGTCCCCCGCTTAGCTATATATCTATGTTTGCATTATCGTATGATAACCCCGTTTCTGGTACAAAAGGCCAGGGTCGCGTTCCACCAATATAAATAAATCACAGCTTCAAGTGAATACAATCCATGTATTTATTGACTCGTTCATGCGCACATTGTAACCACAAGCACAGCAAATTAAAACAAACCAGATGACGGTTGCCAGGCTGGGTTGTCCCACCCCCGATCGGTATGGGGGCTTTAACCCCTCAGTGAACATCGAACCCCCCCCCACCCCCAGTTCAGCCTGAAAGACCAGGACAGGCGTCATCACGACTCTCGTTGCTGCAGCTTTTTGCCATCCAACTCCCTGATGCCGTGGCTACATGAAGTGGAGCACGGGGGGGGGGGGGCACGCGTCTCACGCAAGGTCGCGTCGCAGGCCACGGCCACAGGTGCCGCACAGACACACAGGGTCACTTTGTGTGCCTCTGTGTGTATGAGCAGCAAGACAGGATGCGGTTTAATTCAAAACAATATTGCAGCCGACATTGCCGCTTTAAACACAAATGCCATTCATTGCATAACCTTTGCAAAAATGGTCGTTCCACCGCCTTGCTTGCATTGTACGTTTTGTAACGAAAAATATAAAAGTAAAAACGATTTTATAACGTATATGGGGGGGGGGGGGGGAGGGGGAGCTTCACTGAGTCCCAAGATTATTGTTTTTTTAAAGGGGGTGCTGCTGTATTGGGATGTTTGGCCCATTCCTCAAAATGAGAGTTTGGCTGCATGTGGGGAGCAGGGAAATGGGGAACGGGGATCAAACCCCACAGACGCACACGGGGGCCGGGCAGCGACACTCAGCGCTGCCATCATCGAGTCGCCTCGCAGCCCCACGCCTGCTCCACCCGGCAAGCCCGAGCGATCAACCCGTCCGAGCATACATCCGGCTCACCAAACCTGCTCAACTTGTGAGATCCGATGAGATCGGACGCTTTCGCGGTGATTAGGCGTCACTTTGCTCCGTGCTGTTTGCCTTTGCGCGTGTTTCCACACTCGCACGATGTCAATCAGGCCCTATCGAAGTCGGAACAATAGACAGAGCCGTGCTAATTAGCGTCGTGTGTGTGTGGGGGCGATGACTTGGGAGGCACGCCTGAGGTGGACATTTCTCCGACGTCACAGAGTGCAACGACGCTCAGCGCTCGGCTCGTGTTCCGTGCGTCGCTCACATCGCGACAAATCGAGAGACGCGAACCGCACAGATTTATCGAGATTTACGCAAACCAAAGCTAATTAATCGACATCGGTAGGCTGACCTTTCTGTGACCCTTTTTCGGAGCAGAGGGGGTGCGCCGGTGGGGGTGCGTGCAGAAAGATTGACTGTATTTAGTTTGAGATCGCACTTTTCACTGTGGGGCCCCGAAACTGAGAAATATTGAGTTGAGCATCTCTATTTCATCACGACGAGGGCTCGGCGTACATCGTCAGTGGCGTCATAGTGCGGCGCACGTGCACACACGTATGCGGCGCGCACACTCGCACGGCGCGCACACGTATGCGGCGCGCACACTCGCACGGCGCGCACACTCGCACGGCGCGCACACTCGCACGGCGCGAACAGCGCGAATCTGTAACGACTTAACGCGCAATCTGGACTCGTAAAACGCAGCAAAATGAGCACCGGCAATGCAGTATAGGCACATTTTTATCGCCCGGAGATCCGACAGCGCCATAAAGATAGGCGATAATCCACGAGATCGCGCCTTTGGAGCTGCGAGTAAAGGTCAAACCGAGCGCGTCTCCCCCTCTATACGCGCGCCGTTATATATTTATTTGCCTCCTTAAGGCGAGACGCGCCACTCCGCTCGGTTCACACGCTGCCCTCCCCTCCACACCCTCGAAGCAAGCGTATCCACGCCGGTGATCCCGAGCTTCCTCGTCACTCGGGAGAGAGGGGGGTTGTGTGTCAATGATGTCCCTCGCCCGGGTCCTGCCGCTCCTGGTGGGGCTGGCGACCGCGAGTCGCGCCGCACTGGAATTCGGGCTCCTTCCCGGCGACTATTCCCAGGATGAGACGGGCGCAGAGCAATTTCTCGCCGATTACAACGACACGGCCGAGGGGGTGCTGTACGAGAGCGTGCTGGCCAGCTGGAACTACAATACCAACATCACAGAAGAGAATCAAAACCTGCAGGTGAGGGTGGGCGCAAGGGCGTATCCGATAGGTGGGGGGGGGGGGCGTTGTAACGGTGCGGAGTGTGTGTGGTGGTGCGCGAATGTGTGAGGATTTATGAAGTGCTGGCCATCCCACAAACTCTCCCTGTGCACCGTTCTGGCCTTAATAGGTGCTCGCTAACAGCATTTATCGTCAACATTCTATCTGGCTACAATGGGGAGCTTTGCTATGTTTTTGTAAGTTTAAGTGTTTGCATGTGCAGGTGTGCGTGTGTCCAAGCGTGGGTATGTGCCTGTACCTCTTGAGTGTGTAGGGGGTACACCTGGTGCGGTGCGTAAAAAAACATCGCCACTTGAGAGACAAAGGCAGCCGGGTGTGGTGCTGGCCACCCACCCCAGTGTGCCGTTCCAGCCTTCAGAGGTGCTCACTAACAGCACTTGCCCCAACAGTCTGGTAAAGACTATACGGGGGATCTTTCTCTTTGTAGGGGGTTTGCTGATACACGTGCGATCGCTTTCTTTCAAGAGCGCTTCGGAAACTTTTCAACTGCTCTGGTGCATGTTAACAATGCCGCACTAACATTTCAAAACGACAGCAACAGTGCGTTGTTTTTAAATCCTTTATATTAAGTTCGCGTGCTTGCTTGCTTGCTTAGGACCGTGCAAATCTTTCGGTCGTTTTTTAACCCACTTCCCGTGATCCAATCGAGCTGACATTTTCCACACAGACTCGTTGTGCCAGACAATTATTGTTCGTGAAAAAAAATTCCCAAAATTTTACACTTTTTAGGCAAAAAAAATTATTTTACATATATTCAAATAGAACGCATTCATGGCTTTGGCTGAACGTCAGAGTGTAAGAGCCCAGAACGTAACCCCTCCACAGGCCGTGGCGGAGTAGCGCAGTTGGTAGCGCCCTCGCTTCCCATGCCAAAGGTCGCGGGATCGATCCCCGCGTCCTCCACAGGCGAATATATTTTTAAATCCTTTATATTAAGTTCGCCGCCACGCATATAAAGGATTTATAGTGAAAAACTTTGTTTTTACGGGTTTACTTGTTTATTTCACGAGCCGCGCCTGTGCACACCGAGAAGCCGTTGCCCACATTAGGAGACGCCACGCATTCTGCTTCTTTCCGTGCACTGCTCGACTTTTAGGATCCTCCCCCCTCCATCGTCGCTATTCCCACCTTTTTATCACCTTTGCTGAATTCAAGAAAAGTGTCAACTCTTTTTGTTACAATTTTAATCAATGCCGTTTGTTCCTGGCCGCTTGGCGTGTTGTCCCCTGGGTTCATAAACTGTGGGCAGTGACGTGGCCCCTTCCGGCAGGTAGCGCGTTTGCCGCTCGTCGCAGAGATTCGCGCTGCGTTTCCAGTGGCCGCCCTGGTAAATTAACTGCATATTAAACCGTAAACATACGCGCCGTCTGCTTCACGGTCGACGTTAAAGATCGTGTGACGACATTCGTAAAAAGTGCCGGGATACCTTGGTCCGAATTTTCCTAAATTGAAAGAAAATACTCGCAAATTACTCCATTGGAATTTGCGTAGCAATAGTCGCCCCCGACTGGGCATACTTGGCAGAAAGCGGCATTTGGACGCCGAAAGAGCGTCGGGAAAGCTTCCACACCCGCAACCTCCACCAACGTGTGCAGCAGTCTCTTTTTGGCAATAACACGACTGAACTGCGCCCTGTGCAGTGACCCTGATGCACAAGCAGGAGATTGCGTGTTGAGAAACTGAGAGGCACTGTTGAACTTGTTATTCAAGATCCCTGAGAAATTTTGACAAGATCACGTTGCTTGTGGTTTATTTACAATAATTTAACTGTCCTTGCCGGGGGAAAAACCCAGATTTCAATATATCTCAGTGTCCAACATATTTCGGTATATACACGACCTCCCTCCCCGGATATTTTTTCCACCAGGGGCATACAGTACATATATTCATTTCCCATATGATGTCTATTACCTGCACACGTTCATAACAAACGCGTCTTTCTTTAAACAAAGGCTTATATCCATGCACTTTCAACTAAAATCTTAATTGTGAAAAAGTTGCTCGTTTTTCTTTCAGTGTAGTTTTACTTTCTCATTCCAACTGTTTGGTCCTTACGAATGTAGCACCTAACCCGAACACATTACCTGACCCTAATCAGTCACTGGGGGAGATGTTAACTACCTCGCCTGGTATGCAGGTCGTGGGTTCGATCCTGACCCTGACGCCTGTATATTTAGAGTTTGCATGTTCTCCCTATGGACGTGTGGATTTTTTTCCGAGTCCTATAGTTTTTCCCACCACATTCAGAAACATGCGTTAAGAGTATGTGGCTGCTATATATTTCCACATGATAAGACATTTGATCAGGCCATCATTTGTGACCAGGTCGCTTCTGAAAAAAGTTATATAGCTCGGTGGGCCTTTCCTGTTACCATAAAGTTTAGTTTAAGTGAGAACACATTCTTGATGGAACCAATATTCGTTTACATGGGTATTACATCGTTAGTTAATGTGAAAACGTGTTTATTTGAATGATTATAATAAATTATCAATTAATACAATCTTGGAATGGCTTAAGAACTTTTAATTCCCAGTTTCCTCTGGGGTAGAATCAGAACTTATTGTTTTAATGACCAATGTTGGAGGCAGTTGGGCCATATTTCGATATTTGGGAACAACATTCGCCAGAGTTGCCTGGATGGTGCCCAGCTCCTCCAGCTGTTGTACCCAGGTTCCAGGGGGGATAGCTGTGATGGCTCTACCAGTGCGGACAGGGCTTGACCCTGCCCCCCGTACGCTCAGCGTGAGGTCGGCATGGGTGGGTGAGTTGAGCGGTAGATTCGACCAGATAGCAGGCTTTAAGCACGAAAGGTTTTTTAGGGCAGTTGTTTTGAGCGTGCATTCATTTTGCTTTACGAGCAAAACCCCACCGCAAAAAAAACGAGGCACCGTTTCCCAGTCCCTTTGGAGTAAGCGCTCACAGGGTCCCCCACTGTGACGGGCCCTCTCAGGGCGAGTCTCCGCTATCCAATTACGCCGTGACTGCAAAAGGGGCGGCGCACTGTGTAAACAGTATGAGAAATACGATAAGATGATTCTGCGCGTTCCTGACATGGCAGCCGCCTTACAATGGCGTATTTCGCCAAGCTGCGCTTCACATGGAATATATTAGGCAGGGTGTAGGCTGTAGACGTTGTGTTTATGTGAGCAGAGTAGGCAGGTTTACAGAAAGTAAATAGGCCAGTAAATGTGCCAATCTCAGCGTGATGCATGCAATGTGAAGTTCCCTGTAACTTCCCTAAATTCTGCACTTTATTATACAAAAATAAGAGAATATTAACTTTTTTGGTAAATTAATTATGGAACGAAGGACTTCTGCTGCGTGTGCCATGCGTGTCGTTTTAGGTGGCGGCAAGTTTGAAGGAGCAGGAGTTCACGGAAGCTTGGGGGCAGAAGGCCAAGGATCTCTTCGGTAACATCTCGCATGGGTTCAATGAAACGAATAAACGTTTACTTGAACAAATCAGGATTCTGGGCAGCGCCAACCTCGACATCACAGAAAGAGAAGAGGTAATGTTCCCACAGGCACGGAGGAGATGCGTTACAGAGTCCAGTGTTGTACATAGAGTGGACTCAAGAAACCCTTAGGAAAATTGACTCGTAAGGTGGAACTATAAACATTAGACATCTGGATGTCTTCATTGTGTCATGTTCATGCACAAACAAGAACATACGTTACATTTACGAAGAATGCAATCTTTGCTGTGATTTGAATATTGGGGCAATAATTTTTTTTTATGTTGCAGCAATTAACATTGATTTATGTATGTATAACAATAGTATTGTTTACTCCTTTTTAAAATGTAAGACCTCAGAAACTATAAGGCTGTAAAAAAATCCATAAAGCATTCGCCAAAGTTCATCTGCAATTATCAACGATCGAAAACTTGCAATTTCAACGACAGCCTTTTCCGACGACGTTATTTTCTAGGTGAGCTCATATCGAATAATTAATATTGCGTGTAGATTGCTGGACTTCACATTGAGCGCGAGTCGGTCGTTAAAACCACGGTTCGCCCTTGTGTATGAGTAGCACGGAGGCGCATCTTGTTGACGACTCGTGGCGGCGGTGGTGATAAGATTACAAGGCTTATTGCGGCACATCGTGCCTACGTGTGCGCGTTATCGTTGCGCGTTGTGGCTCACAGTACAATCGACTGCTATCCGATATGGACGCGATCTACAGCACGGCCAAAGTGTGCAAACCCGGGCAGACAAGCGGGTCAGACTGTGCACCCTTGGATCCAAGTAAGAGCGGCATTTCCCAACATCGCTGGTGCTGTTAACAGAAAAGCAAAGGTTACATTACCACGCACACACATAAATTATCTTACCTTTCTGCTATGCTTTCAACAATAAGATAACTGACAAGGTCATTGAACGCCTGGTTTAGTCAGATCCCACGCCTTACCACTCGGTACTGACGCCACGGCCTGCAGCGGCAATCGCAAGAGCACGTCCCAGTTGCCGTGAGTGGTATAGGGCGCTCAATCCCGCCCTACATTATGCAGTTGTGTCCGTTCCTTGCAACATCTTTGGAGACGTCGTGTGACACTGCCCTGAAGTGAAGTTGGCCGTCGATGTCAGCTGTGCGATACAAAGATCCACCGTATAGCCTTAACAACAGAGCGAGACGCACCTATGAAAGATGGCACAACACACGAGGGGGTGGGTGGCCAGCACCACGCCCGGCCGCCTTTGTTCCCCTAGTGGCGATGTTTAAACATCGCACCAGGTCCTCATTTGAGGCTGAGTCGACCTAGGGGAGGCCCAGGACCGGTTCAGATAATCGTCACTGGTGTTGGCCGTGAGTGGAAATCGAACCCGGGTCGCCGGGTTCGTAGCGCAGCGTAGCGCGAACCGCTACACTACCGCTCCCCACTATACTCACACACACACAATGTTGTCAACGACACATGGCAGTATGGGGGTGGAAGTCAGAAAATGATGGTTACAATAATTATTACTGAGTGCCAAATTCAATGTTTGGGAAGACTTACTCTTGCATAATGAGCTGATAAAAGTTCCAACAAGATGACTCATTATTCCAAAAAGGGAGCTGCAGGGAGAATCAAGTCTCATATTCGGAAAATGGTGAAACATATAAATGTAATACGACTATGTTATGGGCGCCTGGGGTGAGAAAGTAAATGTTACTTAGATGTGCACATTGAAGTGACGTACAGAATCACTGGAGGACTGGAATAATGCAAACGTAGCAAAGTCATCTCTATTCATCTCTCAAAATGAAACTCACATTAAATGTATTTAATTTGCTCAAAATAAATACTGTATACTGGCCAAATCGCTCAAATGCGCCAAAACTCGTCAGGTCCCCGAAGCTAAGCTGAGTTGAGCCTGGACATGCTTGGATGGGTGACCACAGTGTCCAGCAGACGCGAAAGCTCCTTTGTGGGCAGCAGAAGGCAGTTATACTTTATCCTATGCAGTATACAATGTTTTAACATACGGCTGTTATTAATGTTGAGCACTGGGCACCTTCACCGTGTGGGTTAATTACCTACAGCCGCCGGCACATCAAGGCCCTGTTCTAGGCAGTCTCACCATCGTCAACGTTGCCATTGCAAAGGAAGCTGTAATTTTTATTCCGTTTTCCTTGGTTGATTGACATCAAGAGTCATCGTTTTCTCAACCGCGCTGTAGTTTCGACAGTGGGTGTTCGTGATATAACAACGCTCGCCCTGCAAGGGTTGTCCACCAGTTAGCAGCAGGTAGAGCGCCCCTCTGTCGCTCTACCGGGCGGGGCATGCAACTGGTACAGGTTACAGGTCACTAAGGCCACAATGCGCGCTAGTAACGCATTTGTTTCGCGTTGTGTCACCGCGATGTCACCGATGGCGCCGACATTCCCCACACATTTTTCTCCTGCGCTGTATCCATGCCACAGCCTGTAACCCTGAGTCGGGAACTGCTGCACTCGTGCACCCCCCGAGCGAAATCAATTATGACCTTTACGAATAGAACAAAAACATCTTACGAAGTGAAGACAGAATTTCCTCGTCACTCAAATAAACGGTGCCACCCAGCCGCCCTCGACCCCATGACCCACCGCCGCTGTTGCCTTGTGCCGCGGCCGGTCGGTGTGCAGCCATCACGGACATCCTGGCGACGTCGCGGAGCTACAAGAAGCTGCTCTACTACTGGGAGGGCTGGCACAACGTGGTGGGCCGGCCACTCCACAGCAAGTACGCTCGCTTCGTCAAGCTCAGCAACGCCGCCTCGCAGCTCGACGGTACGGCGCGCAACCTGCGCATGCCCCCCCCCCCCGCCCCATCTGTGGTGGCTTCAGCCTTTCCCCGGCACTAAACAAAAAAAATGTTAACTATTTTATTTATTTAATCAGGTAAGGCCGACTGAGCTGTGTAGCTCTTTTTCAGAAGCGACCTGGCCACAAATGACAGCCCAACGAAGTGTGGCTCATCGTGTGGGATTTTAGAGCAGCCAAATACTCTTAACGCGTGATGTTGATTCTAAGTGTGGAGGGGGAACCCAGAGGATCGGCAGAAAAATCCATCCGACAAAGGGGAGAATATGCGAACTACAAATATACAGGCGTCAGGATCAAACCCACGACCTCCTGCATACCGGGCGAGAGAGTAAACATCTCGCCACCGCGGGACATTTGGGGGAGAGGGGTGGGGAGATCTTTGACTCATTGGGGGGCAGGGGGGGGCTACGCAGGAATATTGTTTGGGAGCGTCACTCATAACTTCATATATTATAGCACTAGCTTTACTACTGGGCTTCGCCTGGGACTTGGATTCACCACGCCCGGCCGCCTTTGTCCCCCCAGTGGCGATGTTCACACACCACACCAATTACTCATTTGAGGCCGAGTTGACCTAGGGGATGCCCAGGACCGGTTCAAATAATCGTCACCGGTGGTGGCCGTAGAGCGGGAATCGGACTCGGGTCGCTGGGTTCGTAGCGCAGCGCGCCAACCACTACAATACCGCTCCCCCCACACACACACACACGTGCTTGCTGCAGACACACACAACTTTCAGGGTGCGTACGGCAGTAAACCACTGAAATAATAAAGCAGCAATACTGCGCGAAGAACGCCTTAGACCTGCAACACATTTGTGTGGCACTGTACTCGCGGAGGGTTGGGGGGGGTGACATGAGCAGGCACACTGCGTGACGCTTCCACATACGGGTCACATGACAGAAGTGACGTCACAGCTCACTTGCTGTGCAAAATATATGCATTATTGCGCCCCCCCCCCCCCACAAAAATAAAAATACAAAAGTTAATTTTTTAAACTGTTGCATGGTGTACAGTCTGGAAAGTACCCACAATGGCAAATTTCAAGTTTGTTGCATGTCGGGAAGTACGCTAAATATTTTTAACAGACACATATTCACAAATTTCCATTTTAAATATATATGGGCAAAGTAAGTGACCTAATTATAACAGGTAAGTGAAATAATTAAGTGATCAATCTTTATTTTATGTCCCAATATCACCCTCAATAAAGTAGGCATCGATAGACCGATTACGGTTAGTCTCAGAGTGTTCTTAGAATCACGAGCAGTTTTTATTTTATGAGCATCTACGTTTGAGCTAATATTTGAGCACACCTTTACATATGTTCTATGAATGCGGGGCGCCTTGAGCCACGTGGGAGACCTACGCTTTTTTTCCTTTGGGGCCTCTGCCAAGCACCACCACTGGGCTAGAGGCAGACGCTTCTGCACGCGATGGCGTTTGGGAAGCAGCCACAGACGCCGCCACCTGGATTCCCTCTCGTGCCAAGAGTCTCTCCTCCTCCCCTTCACAACAGGCAAACCCGCAGCTCTGGTGCCATATTGTTGCCAAGAACTGGAGTAGGCTAATTTAAGATGAGGTGGCTTTGGCTTTGGAAGGTCACACACTACGCTATTATTGGGGCTTTTTCTTTAGTTCACGGAATCCTCTGCTGTCTGCTGGTAGAGTGGAATAAGTTGGAAGATGGCGTGCGACTACTGGCTTCAGCCAGTGCGAGATGAAACTGAGCCCCGACTGTTATCATTTCATGGGGATATTTGTCTGACTCCGTTTCACGCGTAGTCCAGCACCCATTCGCTTTGTTACATCAACTGGGACGCGTGGCACTACAGCACAGCAATGGATGTTGTACAAAACCACCTGCAACACATAAGCAGCACCGAAACTAACAGAAAGAAATGACTCTTAAAGCAACGTCGTTGTTCGTATGCATTCATTACAAGAGGTCACAACCGTCAAAATGAGTTTATTTGCAAGACGAAATCGAGAAGGTAATTCACAGGACACGAGGCTGTAACTTGCTCAGGTTAACAGTTTCCACAAGAACTTGCAGGCGTTATTGAGGGCTAAATGACGCTCTCGCTGAGGCTTTGAGGCATCCATAAAGGTTAACAATGCGTGCAGAGGATTTATGATCATCACTTAGTCCGTTGCCTCCTCCTTTGGGTCGTTGGCCCCGTTGCATTGGCATGTAAACATCGTGTGAAGCATTCTTCGCTTTGCCGAGGTTCCAGGTTTAACTGGGGGTATAACGAGTTCCCTGAGAGCTCTACGATCTCTCTTAGCGCCCGTACAAAGTTGCTCATAGCTCTTAAGCATGGGCCAACTTCTCCGGCCCAGTCACTCTCTCAGCATTTCGCCACTGTTCGTGAGCACGGCGGAAATCACGGGGATGCGTCATCAGGCGACAGCCAGTGTTGTGGAGAGAAATCATCCTCCCAGATTTGGTCTCAAATAGAGGGGATACATGTGATGTCGGGGTGTAAAGGTATGCATATAAATTACAATGGATACCCGTTCATGGATATCCATTGTAAAAATGACAATGGATATCCATCACGGGCTGGCGGCAACGACCTCCTCCTCCTCCACCACTACCCCCACCCCGAGCAGACTTTGCGGACACGGGGGAATACTGGCGCTCATGGTACGAGTCGGCCACCTTCCGTGATGACCTGGAGCGCATCTACGAGGAGCTGAAGCCGCTCTACCTCAACCTGCACGCGTACGTGCGGCGCAAGCTGCACCAGCACTACGGGGAGAAGTTCGTCAACCTCAAGGGGCCCATCCCCGCTCACCTGCTCGGTGAGCTCGCGCCCCGGCACTCTCGCACACAAGCACAAAGGTCTCCCATCTAGCCCTGCATAGGCTGCTGTTGGGAAGAGGTGCTGGCGGACCACCCGGCCACCTTAATCTCCCCAGTGTTGATGTTTACGAACTGCAGCAGGTAACTAATTTACGGTGGGGGGAGACACAAGTTGAGTTGGGATGTCACTCGCCACTGATATTAGCCTTTTCCAGGAATTGGAGTGAGGTCACTGGGTTCATAGCGCATGTTCTAGCCTGATGCTGCCCAGCCACTGGCCACACTCACACACGTGCGCACAGATCTACTCAAAGGCCGTGCACACTCACCACACACATTTACACACTTACTCTCAAATCCGCGTACACACGAACACATTCGCACTCACACATACACACATTCATACACATACATACACATAAGCTCGAATACTCTAACTCAGATACGCACTTGTGCACACAAAATAAGACTGTTGGGGCAAGTGCTGTTAGCGAGCATCTGTGAAGGATGGCACGGTACTCTAAGCGGTGGATGGCCAGCACCACGCCTTTGTATCCCCAGTGGCAATGTTTACACAACGCACCAGGTACTCATTTGATGCTGAGTCGACCTAGGGGAGGCCCAGGAACGGTTCAGATAATCGTCACTGGCGTTGGCCGTGAGCAGGAATCGAACCCGGGTCACCAGCTTCGTAGCGCAGCGCACTAACCGCTACACTACCGCTGCCCATGCACACACACATACTAGTATACACACACAGATGTACTTTCACTCACATACCCACTCACACTCACAGACATACACTCACACTATCATGCACTTCCCTACTTGCACCCTCGCACACACAACACGAGACACGTGGCCACCATTTCGCCTTGCAGGCTTTGGGAGCAATCGCTGTTCGAAAGTGCCTATTCCACACACGTACACACAGTCCGACTCTCCCAATTATCACGTTACATTTACTTTTAACCGCAACATAAAATATATTAAATTATCCATGGCTCCATCTCAAAATGTTCTCTCTAACATGATGCGTACTAGTTAACAAACAATTCCAATGACGACTCTGCATTAAAGTAAATGCAAGTACCTTGGAAACGTACTTGCACTAATAAGTCGTTACGTACGGTGCGGAAGAAGTTCAACATAATTAATAAATTAAATATGTGAATGTGGAGCTTGTATTCTTCTGCACTGTGTCCATACTTCCTACCTCCTAAGGCAACATGTGGTCCCAGCAGTGGAATAACATCTTTGACATGGTGGTCCCCTACCCCGGCAAGACCAGCGTGGACGTTACAGACACCATGTTGGAGCAGGTACGGCGTGCATCTTCGCCACAACCAACGTTCGCGAGTGTCTCGCAATTGGGAAAGCCTGGCGAGTTCAAATCCTGGTCGGGGGTGGAAAACGGGCCCCATCATCCCTCTGGGGTCGATACAACGAGTACTGCTTTGTGGAAAGTCAACAGTGGTTGTATTGTGAAGAGACTAGCCCAGTCATATGAATGAAGAATTTCCACCACTGGCTCAGTGCTCACTGCCTCAGTGCTCATTTGAGCAGGAAATACATTTATTTTTTACAAATGTCTTGTGTACTCAAGCCTCACTTTGCTTGCGTCATTGCTGCTCAGGGATGGAACGCCACTCACATGTTCCGCATCTCCGAGAATTTCTTCAAAGACCTGGGCCTCTTGGAGATGCCCCCAGAGTTCTGGAGTGGCTCCATGCTGGAGAAGCCCACAGACGGGCGCGAGGTCGTGTGTCACGCCTCCGCCTGGGACTTCTACAACCGCAAGGACTTCCGGTGAGCACGACACGGGCTCTTGCCGGCAGGGCATCCACCAGCTTCCCCCCAAGCTCTTGCCGTCACACAACAAGGGTGGGGGGTGGGGTGCCACGTTTCCCTTGTAGTTACCAGAATCATCCTCTTGTTATGGTCGCCGTCCAGGGAAATCTGTAAATCTCCTCGGAACATTACAAGTCCAAGTCTTTGTCAATTGCCTAAATTAGCGTGCAGGTTTTTGCAGCTAATATTACGAATCGTAATTGATTTTGGGCTTTTGCATCTCATTTCTAAATTTGGTGGTGGGAATCGTTCTCCAACTCGCCACCAGAGAGCGAGCTGAAAAAACAATAGGGACTTCCGGTGAGCACACGCCATGACCGCCGCTGTTCCAGTCTGCAAGAAGATACACACTGCACACACCCATGCAGGTTACATTGACATGCCGCGTCTAAGTGTTGGCGCGGATATATGCTTGATGTGAACTTGCGGCCCTGAATCATTACTTTTTTTTAAGTATTTTTTTTCAGAATAAAAATCTTTATTGAACCTGTAGAAATCCGATGAGCTATGAAGCTCTTTTTCACAGATGTCCAGTCGTCACAGATGTCCAGTAGTCACAATGTCCAGTAGATCTCACATCAATGTCGCTTTGGAAATAATTGCTCATGATTTGTGACAGTGTTTTGCATCAATGCATTTTCTAAACATTTTTTACATTCACACTAGAGGCTATGACGATAATGGCAATTACAGACTTACAATTGTTACTTCACAATAACATGAGAAACTTACAAAATACTGTATATATGCTCACGTATACACAAACCTGCCAGCCCCTTATCAGTGCCTACCTTGTTATAGACCAATTCAGACCCTATTGTTCACCCCGTGGCCTTATAAAGCTCAATGTTCATCCTACAAAGTCCCATCACAAGAGAGAAACACAAAACAATAGATAACAACATAAAAGTGTGCCCGTATTGAAACGGCTGTACGCCATATGGCCCTGAAAGCTCAATCTCCCTGTACAAGAATACGGGGTACACCGTATGGGTTGACAGCTATGTATACATTTGTTGAGAGTCCATTTCAGCAGATAAACTCCTGGTCCAGCCTGATATCTCATCTTCCCAATTGCCAGCGCCATGCCCCTCACTGCCCCCTTCTGCCACCACCCCGAACTGACTGCTGCGCACGTGTCTCTCGCTCGACACGAGCGCGACGCAGCGATCCCCCACGGAGACAACGGCGGTCGCAGAGCTCACGGAACATTTATCGTGGCGTCGTTTGTGAACGCTAAAGCTCGCCTTCTACCCGGCGCATCCTAGAGCGGTGCATCACAGAGGTTCATGCGGACTACTGATCGCGTCAATTTGAGGACCAGTTGAAATGGTTTATTCCCACCTCTGCAGGATCAAGCAGTGCACCATACCAACGATGGAGCAGCTCTTCACGGTGCACCACGAGATGGGCCACATCGAGTACTATCTGCAGTACAAGGACCAGCACGTGTCCTTCCGCGGCGGCGCCAACCCCGGCTTCCATGAGGCCATCGGCGACGTGCTGTCCCTCTCCGTGTCCACGCCCAAACACCTGAAGACCATCGGCCTACTGGACGCCGACTATGTCGAGGACCCAGGCACGTATGCACGCACGCACGGTACCACAGAGACACTTCCAATGCACGCAATGCTTATAATAAACCAGGCCTCCCTTGATTAACACACTCTTCATTTCATTGGCCTCTTACCCAGTTATAGGTAGGGCTTAATTGCAGCATGATCTGTGCCGGTCTGTGACACGTAAGCATATTTCAGAAGCCAGCACAGCGCGTCCAGTAGACCTCTCGCTTTGGCTGCGGCTGCAGGTCACAGTCTGCAGCAACCCCAAACAATATCCATCAAGTAATTAAGCCCTGATTCCAATTAAAAGCCACCTACTGCTACTACCACCACAACCAGAACCCCCCTATTGCTGGCACCTACACAAGCCGCACAGCACCACCCCTCAGAAGCGATCGGATCACCCAAATGCAGCCGTTGGATAATGATCGATATTCCTTGGTGCCTCGAAAGTGGCGGGGGTGGGGTTGGTCAGGCCTCGTGTATCCTGTCGCCAGGGGAGACCTGTGATGTGCTTATGCCATTGAAAAGTTTAGTATTCCGAATGTTTTTTTTTAAGAACAAAAAGAAAAATTTGTGAAACCGATGCCTTTATTAAAATGTAAATTGAGCTCTGTGAGAGAGAAGGCAGCTGGAGCCATCAATCACACACCTACGTGTTAGTCAGCAGTGGCGCCAGGGCAGTGTTTTGAGAGATATCTGGAGCGTCCGTGAATGGCAAACATCGTCATGTCTCACAACGCCAACGAGCAACTGTACAATCTGCCCAAGTCCGCCTTAATTTCTCGGGAACAAATTTAAATCAATTATGCGCAGTCATTGATTTCCGAAGCAAGCTGACGTATACACCGATATCGCGTGACGTTGTGAAACTTTTAAAATGGAATACTAAATTAAAGTAAGGTTTTTGGAACATCATTATGAAAACCGCATAATTGGTCACAGTCCTTTCCACTCCACCCCAAATACGTATGAAGCTCCCATGCTGCCGTCCTTGCCATGTTATGGTACCTGTGGTATAAGTGGGGGGAGGGATGCAGGACTACATCGGTGGTTCAGATACCTCCGCTGTTAGCCATGGCCGGGAATGGAACGCATAGTTGTTAGCTGAGCACTCCCCTCACACTGCCCAAAATGCAACGTACTTCTCCCCATACGTGATCCTACTTTGACATCGAACGTTGCCCTGGAGTGGCTTCATTCCAGTGTCACACAAAGATACAAAGATTCCCTGTATAGCTTTAAAATACTGTTGGGACAAGTGCTGTTAGCGAGCACCTATGGAGTCTGAAACCAGGTACTAACTTAAGGCTGAGTTGACCTAGTGAAGGCCGAGGACCGGTTCAGATAATCATCATTGTGTTTGGTGGTCGTGAGCCGGAATTGAACTCGGGTCGCCGGGTTCGTAGCGCAGCGTGATAACCGCTCCCCAGTGTCATACAGATGCACACACTTTGCTACCCGTGTTCATAGCTTCATCCAAATCAAGATGCCATCGTGGCCAAAGCCGTTGATGCCAGCACCACGCCTCGCCAACATTGCCTACCCTCCTCCAGATCCTGCAACAGCTGCCGCACAGTAGTCACGTGACCTCAAAAGAGCTTGCCCCTGATATTCTGCCACCATCTACCCTCTGGGGTGTGGTCATAAGCATAGTTAGGATGAGGGTGAACATTTCTTCCCGTTGATAATATATATTCAAATCTGCTATCCAATCGATACGGTGCCTGTTCGTGTTTGGTGAGCGAGTGCGTGACAGTAAAACCACGGTGCCCTCGCCCTTTGACCGACCGACCACAGAGAGTGATATCAACTACCTGATGAAGATGGCACTGGAAAAGATCGCCTTCCTGCCCTTTGGCTACCTCATCGACCTGTGGCGGTGGGACGTCTTTAGCGGGAAGACCCCTCCCGAGCGCTACAACCAGGACTGGTGGAATCTCAGGTGAGATTCACTCCGGTTTTCCCCTCCGCATTTAGTTAGAAACGTGCATAAAGAATATTTGGCTACTGCTATAAATTCCCACGTGATAAGCCACTTCGTTGAGATGTCATCTGTGGCCAGGTCGCTTCTGAAAAAGAACTAAATAGTTCAGTGGGTCTTACCTGGTAAAATAACAAAAATGGTTTAAAATAGTATGGATTTCACTCACCTCCCCCCACCCCACAAGGTCTCGTGTATCAGGTGAGATGTGAACCCCGCAGTTTTTTGGTTACGGTCACCAGCAGAACTCAAATAATATTTTCATGGCACTTAAGAGGAGGATCATCTTCTTGGAAAAGCGTAGCCTGCACTCTGAGTGTCAGTCCACACTCCCAGACCCACGTGGGCTGCACGCTGGGGCCTCTGAGTGTCAGTCCACACTCTCAGACCCACGTGGGCTGCACGCTGGAGCCTCTGAGTGTCAGTCCACACTCCCAGACCTGCGTGCGCTCACAAGGCGAGCGTTTGATTCCGAGGCATAAGGGTCCGTGGTAACGACACTGCATTCACTTATCTCCATTTCAAAAGAGACATCTTACAACAACTGGCTCTCATGTGGTTATAAATAAACATGATCGTGCATAAATAATGTATAGGTCAGCACATTAAACATTAATTAAAGTTGATTTAAATATATATATCTTACAACAACGCTTTCTCGGTTGCCTGAGGTTTTTTTGCATTTCTCAAACATGTACTTGAAAAGCGCGGGTCAAAGGGCAGTGCTGCGATGGTGTTTATTGGCGCGTTGCTCTCACAGGACCAAGTACCAGGGGATCTGTCCCGGCGTCCCCAGGAAGAGCACGGACTTTGATGCCGGTGCCAAGTTTCACATCCCCGGAAACACGCCCTACATCAGGTGCAGCAGCTCCTCCACACCGCTGTGGGCAGACAGGCCTAACGCGCACTGACACGCTCATCATCGTTGTTGTTAACAGCCATGTGCGATCCACTGCTGGATGGAAACATCCCGAAACTCCTGCCATCTTTCATGATCAAGTGATTGCCTGCTCAAATTGGCATCGAGGCTCATCTCACGTTTATAGCCCTGGGCCACCAATGGGAATTGCACATTCCGATGACAAGGTTGTGTCAATGCAATTGACAGCTGCTGTTGATTTGCAACAAACCAGCACTCAAGTTTTACAGCCTCAGAAGCTGAATACGCTCACGACTATGATTTAAATTTATGGGCTAATTGGCCAGGCTACGATCCCCGACTTGTAATCGGTACGCGTCTCAAGTTACAACTGCCTTTACCGTGTGTGTGCGTGTGCGGAGGGGTGGTATAGTGGCGGTTAGCGCGCCGCGCACGAATCCGGCGACCCGAGTTCGATTCCCACTTACGGCCAACACCAGTGACGGTTATCTCAACCGGTCCTGGGCCTCCCCTAGGTTGACTCAGCCTCAAATGAGTATCGAGTGCGGTGTGTAGTAAACATCGCCACTGGGGTGACAAAGGCGGCCGGGCGTGGTGCTGGCCACCCACCCCCTCGTGTGCCGTGCCGGCCTTCATAGGCGCTCCTCGCTAACAGCACCTGACCCAACAGTCTGTTATAGGCTATACGGGGGATCTTTGTGTTTTTTTGTGCGGCTGAAGGTACTTTGTGAGCTTCATCATCCAGTTCCAGTTTCAAAAGGCGCTGTGCACGGCTGCTGAGGACAAGGGGCCCCTGTATAAGTGCGACATCGACAAGAATCCGGCCGCGGGCGATCTCCTTCGGTGAGGGGCCAGCACGAGCAACAGGGAACGCAACCGCAGCCTCCCTCTGGAGGTCGACCCCGCGTGGTGACCTTGACGATGACCTTGCTCAAAGCCTGGCTGCATAAACCATCATCACACAGACTCCCCGCAGCAGCAGCAGCGGTTTTTGGCTGGCCGTCGAACAAAGACCGTGGTCACCGCATCGGGTGCTTTCAGATGCACTTCTGAGTGCCGTCCGGAAAGCTCTTCCTTCCAATATTAGAATGCAACTGGAGCTATGCACCTAAAAATCTAGATTAAAAACTAATTTCTTTAGAACTGCTTTTTGTGCTTAGTTTGTCCTTCCCACGCATGGTTGGCTCCATACGGTGCGACATTAATACGTTTAACGTACGTACATATGTACATACGTACAACTCGAGGGAGGCATGACACAGTCAATGTTAAGCAAATCATAAACGAATGGTAAACGCTAAACATAATGGGTAACTATACGGTTGTCTTGGAGGAGTACCCATACTTTACCCCACCACCCACAATATGCTGATCGACCACTGCTGGGAGGACAGAGACTGCCCATTAAATAAACTGTACCTTTATATGCAGCAAATACCTCTTTAAAATATTTATTCTAACAACTGTGCTTGATGCTGGAGCTGCAAACTTTAAAAAAAATCGACATCGGTCGATGAATCGATGCGTCGTTCCACCCCGAGCGATAAACTCTCGCGTGCACACGCATGTGCACACGCATGTGCTCCGCAGGAAGGCCATGCAGATGGGCTCCAGCCGCCCGTGGACCGAGGTGATGAAGGAAATAACGGGCACGGAGAAAATGAGCGCCCAACCGCTCATCGAGTACTTCCAGCTCATCATCGACTGGCTCGAGAAGGAAAACGTCAACGAGACGCTGGGCTGGCCCGAATTTGCGTGGGTGCCGCCGGTGCCGGATGACTACCCCGGGAACCTGGGTGCGCCCCGAGCATGGAAACACACGGCGACACGCAAAGACACTTAGCGACACGCGGTGACACACGCTGCCGCACGTAGGCCGCCGACAATCACGTGTTTTATTCTCACACTCGATTTCGATTCCCTGCCACGGCCAATGTTGACGAGCGATACCAGAAGCAGCCCTGCCCGCTCCCGACTCCCACTTCACCGAGCCACGCTTACCGGTGTGGTGGAAAACAGTCGTAAAAATCCCAACCGGCGTGGTGTTGGTGTTTTGAGAATGGCAGGAAGTCTTTAAAATGTGTTTTGTTATTTAGTTTTCTTATTAATGTTTAATCCATAATATGAACTCAAAGATCGTGTCGGGATGATGTCAATGAGAGCCATAGCCCTCCACCACCAGACACAGCCAAACAAACCGAGTTATCACGTGGCCAAATGTCCCGCTTGATTGTATTTTTCAGCAAATCGGTTACGTTGAAAAGCAAGCACATTTTTTACAATGTTGTACTTCTACTTTGCCCTGGAGATTTTGCCCAGCCTCATCAGGTATTGGCAACAGCTACAAAATAAAAAAGATGTCAATCATTATTTTTTCTATGTTACCAATTTGTTCAACAGGAATAATGTGACATCATCTGGTGAAAGCCTCTAGGCAGAATGATTGATGGCCGTGTAGTTCATATTTTAGAAAATCCCCAAGCAGCATCATTACCTTTTTTTGTTGGTTGCTTGATATGCCTTCAGCAAGCAGTTCCAAGGTAATTTCACGAAGGTCAGTGCACACATCTGACCAGTTATGCTCGCCGCAAAAGAAAAATGTTAGATTTGACTTGTAACGTGAACATTTTTAAAAGATCTAAATGACAAGAGTTGTGTTTAACACGTAGGCTTTCGCGACCAATATTATCCATAAGAGGTTTCTTGGGTTAGAGGTTGTTTTGGGTAAGGGGCTCACTAGTGATCACATCACATCTATCTGGCTGCCGCATGATGATGCTCGTTGTAATTACTGGCGAAACGTCGTGCTCAGATTGTAAATATTGTGGATTAGCGAACTGCCACGTTCTGTTTACATGATAAACCTCACTAATTGGCTGTGTCGGGTGGTGGCGGGTTTAACGACACATTTATATTAATGAGATGTAACCCAAAAAACCCTCTTATGGATAACAAGAGGTGTCTCAGTAACTCAGCAGTCAGAGCATTGAGCTGGCACTTTACAAGATCCTGGGTTTGAATCTGGGCACCTGCCCAAGGTTAAACTGGGTTTCCAAGCGTAGAGAGCTGATGGTCTCAGCCGACTCGCAGATGCCAAATGTGTTTTCACTTTATTTGGCTAAATTCCGGCTCAGTAGAAAAAATGTTGGTTTGATTGCCGGGCAATAAACAATCTCATAGCAGATTGTACGGTTTAAAGAAGCCACGTGTTTTTTCTTCTTCTCTCCTATGAAAAATATTTTTCGGAGAAATTCTCTTACGTGATGGGTGTAATGCCGTGCGATATTTCCAAATGTGTTCTACGTCTGATCGAGTGATGCCAATCGCGCAGTTGGAACACATTAAGGGGCGAAAAAAGATGAAAAATGTGTTCAACAAATAATCGCAATTACAAGGCAATCCACATTACTGACCTGTGTGCACAAATGTTACTTGTTGGCAATTTGAAAACCTTATCACCCTTTCTCACGGGAGAAAACATGACCGTGATTGTGCTTAATTTCTGCTCACAGATAAAATCACCGATGAGACCCAAGCGATAGCTCTGTTGGGGGAGTACAACACTACCGCAGAGAAATATTGGTCGGAGTACAACGAGGCGTCATGGACCTACAACACTGACATCACGGAGGAGCACGACAAGCTGGTGGTGAGGCTGTGCAACTCATGCCACGCATGAGTCTCAGTGTCGGGCACCGGGGTCTCCCGTGGGCCGGACTTGCTCACACGCAGCCTCCGACGATGATGACGACAATGATGATGGGATACCATGTTGCTGTTTGAGATGACATCCGTCATGTAATGGCACAATTAGGTCAAAATGTGGATGGTCCTTATCTTGGCGGAACTGTTAAAAACAACATGGCGATTATAAAGTGTACCATGTTATTACGAAGCGTCTATTTTCTGACGTGCACCATAACATCTTACATCTCGGTGTTCAATTGGAGGAATAGCACTTTGTATAGTTTAGGCGGAAATGAATCACTCACTCCAACAAGTATGAGGCATCGTGGATCGGTTAATTTGCACTCCTGGTCGCACTAAGTGGAGTGCAGCCACCCAAACACAACGCTTGAAGTGTCCCTTTCACACGGGCAGCGGTTAAATCGCTTGCTGCCAGCACGATGGTCCCTGATCCCTCTCCACCTCACAGACGAACTTGTTGTTGTTTTGTGCACGCGAACACAGCAAGAAGCCAACTTGCGGATGGCCAACCACTCCCTCTACTTCGGACGAGAGGCTCTCCTTTACGACTGGTCCAACTTCCAGGATGAGGGCGTCACACGGCAGCTGAAGAAGATCAGCCAGATTGGCACAGCCGCGCTTCCTGAGACTGAGCTCAAAGAGGTACCCACTCCCACAGCCACGTTCAACAAACACCGTGAACCTGCCGGCCCCAACCGCCCAGTTGTGTTTGGCACTTGTAATACAGTAATCACCATGCGTCTATTTTGTTGTTTCTGTCACTTAATTGACTTTGAATGTTTTTTTGAAAGTAATTTGTTCGAGCCCACTTTCGGGACAGGACATCACAGCCTTTAATTTTTGTACAGCACTTTGTGCACTTTGAAAGTGTAAATGATTATTAATTTGATTTAACATTCATTTTGTTTGGATGCTGTTTTTGTCATTGCTTTCGACATGTGGTATTGTTTTTGTTTTTGCTAAATTGTTGCGATTAGTTTTTCTGTTAATGCTTTTGTTATTTTGGTGGCCTCTCTTGCTTGTCGCTTCATTTCTTAAACCGGTTAAACAAAATCAACTTGAACCTTGAACCCTACCACAGCCAGAGCTCCAGCACATTAGCTCAACACAAGAAACACCAGGCTTGGCCCAAAGGGTGCAGGCAAAAGGTTTAATGTTGATGCAGATTCATACCGTGTGGACCGTCCAGCAGGTTGCTTGGCCATGCTGTTCAGAGCCGAGGTGAGAGACATCTCAGCCGCCAAATGCATCTATGTTAATGCGGCCGCCACCTCTAACATTGTCAACAAGATCCAAAATGGGCGCAGTTTCACGCGAGCAGTGAAGCGTGCTATAATTATTTCTCCCGTCCAATTTTGTTCCAGTACAACGAGATCGTCTCGCGGATGGAGACCGCGTACAGTGTTGCCAAAGTGTGCCAAGGCGAAACGTGCATTCCCCTCGATCCCGGTGGGTGCCTCTTCCACACCGCGACACCTGCCCCGTGACCAACGCCGGAGTCACGCTGCCGCGCCCGTTAGCCACGCTCGTTAGTGCTGTGACGAGCCACACAGCGGTGCACACACGCAAGCAGCGCCGTGCAGTCCCCCACAATCGCAGCCTCCAGTCGCGGGTTTCCATGATATTAAAATTACAATGCTGCATCAAATTTCACGATACGATGGTATTATTATATCAGCTTCCCGTAACTTTCGTATTTGTTTTCTGCATGTCCTCAAGCTCTTCCTAACTGCAGTTCCCTCGACTTGAGCGTCCCACGGGGCTTCTGCTCTGTGCAATCTGTAACGCTCGTAACGCACATGCTGTCAGTTGCAGACAAATAATTGAATGTCGATGACGAAAACAACGGCATCATAAAATGCCATCATGCTGTCAAATACTCCACGGGTTTTCACAGGCATTTAATTTATAGCTAAATATATTTGTTATTTCATACTTAATTTGCCAGGGAATAAAAGCAACCATAATCTTGATACGGTCATTTTTTGTAAAATGAACGATGTGATTATCATAAATCTTACACTGAAGCATTGTCAGTGCTCAAAATAGGCCAGTGTCGACGTACGGTACGCCATTCCAGCTCTTCTCAGAACACCAAACACCTACACGGAGACCTTACAGAATGTTTGAACCGAAAACAACGCTCAAGTATGCTTGGGAGTAAACGGCGGTGAGCGTGGGCTGCGGGACGAAGAGGCTTCGCACGAGGACCTCCGAGTACGGCGATACCCCGGTGTATGTCGGGGGGGGGGGGGAGGATGCGTTCCTGAAAGGTGCGACAGTGAATATCGAAAACGACGCCAATCGAAGCGATTTACAGGGTAGCAGGTCGAGGCGAAAGCCGAAGCGACGGATAACGAGAAAGGACGGACGACGCTGTCAGCGACGTGTGGGGTTGAAGGCGACGCAAATTAGGTAGTGGCGTTAAAACGACGACGTATTTGTCGAAAGGACGTGAAAGGCGTATTTGGGGGTATGACCGTATCGAGCGTGGCGCCGCCCCCCAGCGTCCTGATCCCACGGCAAAGGCGCCGACCGTAACTGTGACCCCGCCACCCTGCAGACATCACGGCCATCATGGCGGAGTCGAGGAACTACGACGAGCTGCTCTACTACTGGCAGGGCTGGCGCGACGCGTCCGGGCGCAAGATGCGGAAAGACTACGTGCGCTACGTGGAGCTCAGCAACCAGGCCGCGATAGCAAACGGTGAGTGCGGCACGGGCGGCACTGCCGGATGAGGGTCTCGGTGCACCGTGGGGGGTTGTTTGACCGTATTTCACCACGCCGTTGGTAAAGGCGAGGAGCATAGACATGGGAGCATAGAATCCCAGCAGTCTGTTCTCCTACTATGCGGTAGTTGCGTTCCTGAAAAAAAATGCGTTATGGAAAAAGTCGCGTTATATATAATATAGGGTAAAGCACAGTCCGCGATAACACGCGAGATGCGTACGCAGGCCGAACAAAGACCGAGGTGCGTGGGTAGTGTCTAGAAGCATCCAGCAGCATCCCGCCTCATGCGATGCTACGCCGAGGCAGCCGTACAGCCGCTTGTTCCTGCCCGCGCGACGTAGCTCTGTTCACTCGGTCGCATTATATCAACTTCGAAACCGCGTTATAAAAAAATGTGTTCCCAAATCCATTCATTGCGTTATATCTAATTCGCGCTACGAAAACAACACGCGGTGTCATAGAATAGGCTGTACACCAATGGACTTACTGCTCCTGCCCTCTGCTGCCCACATCGAGAACACAACCAATTCCAGAGCAGCAGCACCTCGGCATTCATATATCAGCTTATTTATGATACATACCAGCGTGAAGATTCTCCAGAACACGATTACAATGTTAAACACCAACAGCGTCTTACGGAAACTGTTGGGAAACATGTTTGAGGATTCGTGTTATTGTCCGTTAAATAAATCTTGTGTAACGTCCTTTATCAATGTGTTCAGCATTGGAGCTGTGGTCTTGTTTGCTGCTTCTGCTTGTGGTGGTGGCAGTTGGCACAGTAGGGAGTACAGCTGGTGCATCTGCCAGTCATCTGAGTCAGCCAACACATGGCACCTGGGTCTGTCCCGAGACCTCCTCCTATCAGCGAGCCTTCAACACTTCACGTGGCCTGGCACAGGCGCCGTGGTGACGTCACTGTCACTTAGTGGTGAATGGCGTGTTATTGGTTATGGCTGTCGCCCTCCAGCAACAACGGAGGGCAGAGGAGTGATGCTCACAACAAGCGAAGCGCCAGGCGGCTAAAACACAGCAAGTTGGCACGGGCACGTGGTGGATCTGTCAGTCATCTCAGTCAGTCAACCCGTGGCACCTGGGTCTGTCCCGTAATCTCCTGCCAGCGGGCGTTCGACACTTCACTTGGCTTTAAAGTGCACATAGGCTGGCACAAGCGCCGTGGTGACGTCACGGCCACTTAGTGACGAATGGTGGTTGTTGTTGTGGTTCTTTTAAGTGGATTGGGAGCGGTTGTGTAGTGGTTCGATTCCCAGCTTACGGATCACCACCAGTGACGATTATCTGAACTGGTCCTGGGCCTCCCCTAGATCTACTTAGCCTCATATGAGGAGCTAGTGCATTGCGTTGATATTGGTGGTTATGGTTGCGGTGGTTGTGATTTTGGTTGTGGGCACTAATCCGCGGCCGTGCCACGCAGGGTTTCCGGACAACGGCGCGCAGTGGCGTTCCGCGTATGACACCGAGACGTTTGAGGCCGACCTGGAGCGCATCTACGAGGAGCTGAAGCCACTCTACCTCAACCTGCACGCGTACGTGCGGCGCAAGCTGTACCAGCACTACGGGGAGAAGCACATCGACCTCAAGGGGCCCATCCCCGCTCACCTGCTCGGTTAGCACCAACTTCGTTATCGTCTTCGTCGTGGTTAACCGTCGTTTTGACTCGAAATGACTCGGAACGCGCCGCCGACGCAGTGTTCGCTCGCGCACGGAGAGAGAGACCGACTCAGGAGCAACCACAGACGAGGGGGAAGGCATCAGCCTACCAACAATTCCCCAAGCTCTGTGGTCCTCTGTATATTGAAACGTTTGCAGCCAATTGACGAGTGCTTATCCGGTCGAGGTAACGGTCACCGTTTTTGTGCTCAACACAATACGTGGAACTACATTTCAACATCGCTGGGTTTGAATGATTTTTCTTCTTTTGGCGACCAGGAAACATGTGGGCCCAAAGCTGGAACAACCTGAACAGCCTGGTCGCGCCCTTCCCGAACGCACCCTCGGTGGACGCCACGCCCGCCATGCAGGCACAGGCAAGACTCGACACACCGCGCTGCTCATTCGGGTCAAGCAGTGGATGTCAAACGGACTGTGCATGCGCACGTATGACGAGGCTGCGAAGCTTCGCTCGTTATCAAAGCGAGTCGCGGTGGCGCTCTCGTAGCGTGGCTGGCATGCCCCCCCCCCTTGTCCAGCTTGCCGCCGCATCGAAGCCCAGGGCGTGGGCCGCTCCGGCCCGCGGGCCTCTGCGCAGTCGCACCGCCCGCGCGCTCGAGAGCCACGCCGCCGGCCGCGATTGCTGTCTCCCGCTGCTCGTGCTGTCTGCCAGCAGCAAGAATGACTGGCGCAGCTCCACGGCGCCCCGGCGAGGACTTGTCCGTCACCAAGAGTTCAACTCCAATGGGCAGAGAGAAATACCTGCGACCCCCCTATGTCAATTTGCTGCTAGACGAGGCTCTGCCCGCCCCGTGTGTGGGTTGTGGGGGTTAAGCGATCGGACACCATCACACGCAGCCACCTATGACAACCTGACGGTGCATCCTGGTCATTTGCTTTATTCGAGGATTGAACAATGATGAGTAGATTATCAAAAAGACAGAAGGCCACTCGTGTAGCCCAACAGACTGTTGGGGCAGGTACACTGTTAGCGAACAGCTATTAAGGCCGACATGGCACATGAGTATGTGTGGTGAACACCATGCCAGACCACCTTTGCCTCCCCAGTGCTGATGTTTACACACTGCACCATGTGCTCATTTAAGGCTGAGTCGACCTAGGGGAGGCACAAGAGCGGTTCAAACATTCGCCACTGTTAATTGGTCGTAAGCGGGAATCGAACTCAGGTGGCCGGGTTCGTAGTGCAGTGCGCTAACCACTACTCCCCACCAGATTCTCACGTACGCACAACATTTGATGCCTGTCGCGTCGCTGTCACAATCGATTTTAATCAACGACTCGGCACACTTTGTGTGCATGCGGATGCAGAAATGGACAGCTAAGATGATGTTCAACGTGTCGGATGAATTCTTCACGTCTCTGGGGATGATTCCAATGCCGCAAGAATTCTGGGACAAGTCCATGCTGGAGAAGCCCACGGACGGGCGCGAGGTCGTGTGTCACGCCTCCGCCTGGGACTTCTACAACCGCAAGGACTTCCGGTGAGCACGACACGGGCTCTCGCCGGCAGGGCATCCACCAGCTTCCCCCCAAGCTCCTGCCGTCACACAACAAGGGTGGGAGGTGGGGTGCCACGTGTCCCTTGTAGTTACCAGAATCATCCTCTTGTTATGGTCGCCGTACAGGGAAATCTGTCGGTCTCCTTGGGACATTACAAGTCCCAGTCTTTGTTAATTGCCTAAATTAGCGTGCAGGTTTTTACAGCTAATGTTACGGATCGTAATTGATTTTGGGCTTTTGCATCTCATTTTTAAATTTAGTGGTGGGAATCGTTCTCCAACTCGCCACCGGAGAGCGAGCTGAAAAAACAATGATTGGCGCGTCGTTACACGCTCGTCCGCGCAACGCTGTCAATTGACGTCCAGATTTCTTGTACAGCAATTGCACAGCAACCTCGCATTTTACTTGTTTTGTTCATTCAATTGGAATGGTGTTTGTCGCAGGAGATTTAAGGATAGGGAATTGCAGTTATTTGGCAATCATGTCATGTCAAAGCGAGATGCTGGGTAAGACAAAATGAATAGCAATGAAAGTGAGACAAGGTCAAATGGACAAAGATCCCCCGCACACAGAGGGGGCAACTACAGTCACCAAAGTCTCAGCTCCCAAACGTTTTGGGTTGGTTCGGACAGCCCCGAAGAGCCTCTCCCGGTGTCCCAAAGCATGTCGTCAAAACCCGGATTTTGTCTCGGCTTGAAAGACATCACGTTCCCAATGTGCAGACCGAACAGAGCCTGGCACAGCACGAGGTCAGTAAAGCGGCCTTGACCAGTGGCCCTTGCGGGCGCTGCTGGCCCAACAAAGGGTCACTGGAAATACATAAGATGCGGCGATCCCTAGCCAGGCCCAAAAGAACTGACGGTCAAATAAATTCAGAGCGTTTAGCCTGGCTCCGCTTGTCCAAGCTGACACGAACCGTCCACACGGCACATACGGAAGCGGCTCAACTCAAGGGTTAATACATCAGGGTGTATTAATCGGTTTACAATAAAGAGGCAGTTGAATACCCGGAAGGGTTACCGCTCTCCGATGTGTTTTCGGGCTGCACGGAGTGTCGTTTGGCACGATGTCCAACGTTCCGCTCCACACGCCGGAAGCCTCTTCGGGGAACTTAATTCAGTTGCTGGCACATCCGGGAAAACAAAACCACAGAGCGCCAGCGATTCCATACGGCACGACCGCGACACCACCTAACAGGGCCGGCTCCCCGCAGGATCAAGCAGTGCACGGTGGTGACGATGGACGACCTGGTGACGGTGCACCACGAGATGGGCCACGTGCAGTACTTCCTGCAATACAAGGAGCAGCCAGTGCCGTTCCGCGACGGTGCCAACCCCGGATTCCACGAGGCCATCGGCGACGTCATGGCGCTGTCCGTGGCGACGCCAAAACACCTCAAGGAGATCGGGCTTTTGGAAACGGTGGAGGACAACTTGGGTGAGACATTCCCTTCTCTCCACCAGCAAAGACAAAGAACCCCCCCCATATAACCTTAACGAAGTGTTGGGGCAAGTGCCTTTAGCAAGCACCCGACGGCCGTCATGGCACCATGGTGGGTGGCCAACGCTACACCCGGCTGCCTTGGTCTCCCCAGTGGTGATGTTTACACACCACACCGGTTACTCATTTGAGGCCGAGTTGGTCTAGGGGAGGCCCAGGACCACTTCAGATAATTGTCACTGGTGTTGGCCTAGAGCGGGAATCGAACTCGTGGTGCAGTGCGCGAACCAGTACCATACACGAACCTGTGCTTGTACGCAACGTCACATACGGACATGTGCGTGTGTGAGATATCACTTCCATACACCTGTGACACAACACGCAGATGCGCACGGTTATGCATAAACCCCCTTAAAACACGCACATCTGTACGGGTGTACCATTAGCGACGCAACTTATGTGCTTGGCCCTGTAACATTACAGCACATGTACACGCACGATTGATGACATTCGTTTGTGCGCGCTCGCAGAGAGCGACATCAACTTCCTGTTGAGCATGGCCCTGGACAAGATTGCCTTCCTGCCGTTTGGGTTCCTCATGGATCAGTGGCGCTGGAAGGTGTTCGACGGACGCATTCCCACCGAGGACTACAACAAAGAGTGGTGGAACCTCAGGTTGGAAACCATTTCCATGTGCCTAGGCATTAAAGGGCACCGAGGGGGGGGGGGAGATGTCGACCACCCCACCTGCTATGGAGGAGGCGGTGGGTTTTATCCACCGACACCTGTATATTTAGAGTTTGTAGGTTTTCCGCATGGTTGTGTGGATTTTCCTTAGGGGCCTCCGGTTTTTCCCCTCTACATTTAGAAATGTGTTGAGTATTTGGCTGCTAGAAGTTTCCACAAGCCATTTCATTGGGCTATCACTTGTGATCAGGTCGCTTCTGAAAAAAAAAGCTGTATTATCTGTGGGCCTTACCTGGTAAAAAAAATAAACAAACAGTTTATCCATTTGGTGCTCTTCACTTCGCTTCCACAGTGATTGGTGGGATGATTTAGTCAGAGGCCCGGAATAATTTGCTTCCAGTTTAACGTTTCGCACATCCAAACTTGCCTCGCCCTTCGGAATACAGAACATCTCATTCTTTCGTTCAAAGGGCGTAGCACAAGTTGAAAACTCGTTGAAAGTTATTGGCAACAACGGGAGGCGACCTCCATGGAATGTGCGATGAGGGGGCTTGGCAAGCGTGTGGGGAACTGGCGAGATGAAGGGCTGGAGGTCGAATGGGAGGCAGGCGCGAGTACGGAAGACACTCAAGCAGTTCTAGTTGCAAGGACAGAGCGCGCGGTGTTATACAGAACGAGGGACAGGTAGAGACGGAAGCGCTCCATCCTTAAATTTGATATCCAGAGATTTGTATAGCTTAAACATCCTTCAGAAACACACATGTACATGACCCATCTTTTACACGGACGTTAGAAAACGCATTGTTTATGCAACCTGCGCATGTTTTAAATTAAGATGCAAATGCGACAAAAATATCCCTTTTCCCGTAAAACGCACGTAGACTAGGGATCCGATTGAAACGCTTAAAAAAACACAAGGCAAAACCGAGCTCATGTTTGCGTTGTTCCAAACGGTGTCTTGTCCACAGGATGAAGTACCAGGGTCTGTGCCCTCCCGTGGCCAGGACGGAGGACGATTTTGATCCAGGATCAAAATTCCACATTCCGGCCAGCGTGCCCTACGACAGGTAATATGCGCGTGCATCCCCCAGCTGCATGCGAGAGTTCAACTATTTCAGCTTCCTGCAGGGGGGGGTGGGAGTACGTGTGTTGAACTTTTCGCACCGTACTTAGCCAACCAGTCCTAAATCGGAGGTGCAGGGGAAGCACAAACTGAACACAAAAAGCATAATGCAGCGACAGTCTTTATTCTATGCTAAACCAAAAGCCCCTCCAAGGAGGCACAGAGCTTGCGTGATGGTTAACTGCTCCTCGAGGGTGCATCACTTTAAAAAGGCACGTGATAGTTATACAACTATTCACGTTTGCCATTAAAAAAATTGAAATTATTTCTTGAACTCACAAGCATATGTAATTGGGTACCGTCAAATGCACAAAAACTAAAATGTAGGAGACTTAGAATTATATTAGGTTGCCGAACAAGTGCTGTACTTAAAAACAAAAAGGCATCAAGCACCAATCAATGCTTTAATTTATCCACACATCCCATACAAGGATCCCTACAATAGTTTGTATAACGAGGAGAGTGCCGTGAGAGCACCTACCAAGGCCTGCATGGTGCATTAGGGGAGTGTTGGTGTGGCCAACCACTCTGCCACTAGATGTTTTCCCACCTCACAAATATTACACTAGTTAGCAGCACTGCCTTTCCTTAGAGAATTCAGAGTCAGAGCCAGGGCTTGTTCACGCACGACACTGCGGTAACGGCGATTCCAGTTCGTGGGCTTTTCCATGCTTGGGGAAAATGGAGACCACCGTGCATACACAACGAACGGCTTCGTCAGTTCACTGCTGGAGGAGGGCCTCCTCACTTCTGCATTGCCAAGCTGCACTTTGGCACACCGGTCCACAAAGACATTGCTCCCATAACCCACCCTGCAACCCTTGACGCAAGATGTCGCTGCTGGCCATACAAAGGAGGGTGGTGCACTCAGTGTGGGTAGCTAATCAATGGTCAATGTACTCCCTCCGCCGACCAGGTATTTTGTGAGCTTCGTCATCCAATTCCAGTTCCAGGAAGCGTTATGCGCCGCTGCGGGCCAGCTAGGAGACCTGCACAAGTGTGACATCTACAAATCCAAAGACGCCGGGGAGAAGCTTGCGTGAGTTGCAATGCGCACGCACGACATTAAATCACACTCTGGGTCATGCTAAAACGATTGCATCACCCTGAACTTGCCCCATCATTAAAACTCTGAAAATAAGCAGATTTGGGCCTGGATACCAAACTACAATTCACTAACTGGTTATCGACTGTAGAGAGCAGTGTAGCCTCATCTTGTACAAATATCTATGCTTCCGTATGGGACCTTTCTTGGCAGTATATAAAGCATAAACCGGTTTTACCCTTTCTGGCAATAAATGCCCTGAGAGTCATTGTCCTCGCGCTGTGCGCTTTTTGGCGTTCTCTGGTCTAACACTTTGAGACTCGGTTCTAAGGAAATCTGTCTCTGGTGTGGACCAAATCGTTTTAAAATGCGATGCATATATTACCAGAGCATGTTCTTGTTTGTATGTTCACCACAAGTGTAGTTAATGCAGACAGGATTCCTTGCAAAAAAGGTTTATATTTGGCGTTTGAACATCAACACCTGTATTATTATTGCCAGAAAGGATAAAACCTATTCTTATATCTGCGCTTCCTGCCATCAAACCTGATCAATATAAAAACCTCTTCCAGCAGCGGTAGATTGACAAAGGGGGCTATGAACGTGTGCATTTCACATGCTTGGTGGCAATAAATGCTGTTTCACCAACTGCGATCAACGCCACACGTGCCCACTTTATTTCTAGGCGAAGATAACATCTGGGCACTAGACAAGGCTTGTATTAAAAAAGGCACAAATCGGCCATCAGAGGGCACAGGAGCCCCTAAAGCTATTCATGGCTGGGCATCCAACAGCTTCACCGTTACACCACTTTAAACAATCTTGCTACAGTAACAACGAATGTCGTTTTTGTTCACAGGAAGGTAATGCAGTTGGGATCCAGTCGGCGGTGGCAGGAAGCCATGGAGATGATCACAGGGCAACAGAGCATGTCGGCCGCAGCCCTCCTCAAGTACTTCAAGCCGCTCACCGACTGGCTTGTGACAGAGAACGAGAAGAACGGAGAGGTGCTCGGCTGGCCCAATTACGAGTGGCGTCCCTGTAAGCAGCACATCCCCGCTCGAGTGACCACGCGGTGCTTTACAGGGACAAGTCAGATTTACACATAGCTATTATTTACCATTTTTATTTGATCAGGTAAGGCCCACTAAATCTACGTAGCTCTTTTTCAGAAGTTGCCTGGCCACAAATTATAGCTCAACGAAGTGGCTTATCACGTGGAAATATGTAGCAGCCAAACTCGTCATCTAATACTCTTTGGTTCTTTCGGTAATGTCACGTAGGTATAAAATAAAATAAATTACGACGTTTCGATTGCAACACAAGCAATCATCAGGTGGGAAAATCACAGCAAGAATGTTTTTGCTGAAGTGGGAGAGATGCCGTGGTAAGAGGTTATACAGGTAAGAAAGGGGGGAGGGGCAAAGGGGGAGAGAGGGGGGTAGGGAGAGGGGAGCGCTGCGTGGACGCGAAGAGAGGGACGAAGCTGGACGGGGGGGGGGGGGAATTAGGCGGGGCTGGAAGTGGGAGGCTGAGAGCGCTGGGGATGCTGGGGGGGGGGGGTTAACTCGGAATAAGTAATATTTTAAAATACTTTTTTTTTAAACACGCTTTAATGAAACGTACCCTACTCGTAATGGCAGAACTCTACGACTCCAGGAAGCGGCCACAAAGCTTGCCATAACATAAAGGGACCGTGGTGATTTACAGCCAACGTGAGTTTAGCGTGGACAATTACACCCAAGCCGAAACATAACATGTAAAAATGAATGTTTCAAAATACTTTTTGATATAATAGTATTGCCAAGTATGACATAAGTATACCAAGTTTGCAGTCGATACCACATTGAGAAGTGGGTTAAAATTTGTTTAAGATTTGAGCATACGACAACAGACAGTGCGTTAAATAAAAGCGTGTAATTATAAAAATAGGCTAGTACCCAGATCCGGCAGATATGATAGAAAGCAGTTAGTGTTTTACATGGTTAATAACATCCTTCCAATGATTTCTCAATTTGTATCCATCTTCTCGGTTGAAGTTATGTCTATGTTAAGATATCTGGATGGCTTCATGAACAAACCTTTTATAATAGCCCGAAGGTTTGCAGAGTACCTTGGTCTCGGAAAACACTATCATGCGAGCCCACAGCGTTATAACAATGGTCAGCTATGGTAGAGGTATTGGTTCTGCCGTGTTTCAGATCTGCCTTGTGTTCACGGACAAGGTCCGAGACATGTCGTTTCGTTTCAGCGATGTAGCTGCTGCAGGTACAACTCAGTTTGTAAACTCCAGGATATTGCATGTCAGGAAGGACATCCTTCACATATGGGATTAGATCACAGATTGTGTACTGTATTGAATCGGACCTGGATCTTGCGTTTAAGATTTTGGCAATCTTTTTGGAAACACCTGCCGTGTATGGTAGCATGGTTGATTGGCTTCTCAGGGGGTTACTTATCCATAGTTTGGAGAAACAGCTTTGCGAATAATGCGGTCAGAGTACCCATTCATCTTGAGGGCCTGGTGTATGCGTTCCAGTTCACTGGCTATGTGGTGTTGGTCGGAAATGCAGTGGGACCTATTGTGTAGTTTTGATAAGGGAATTCTTCTGTGCCAGATGGTGGTGGGAATCGGGTTTCAGATAGGAATCCGTGTGGGTGGATTTCCTGTAGACATGTCCTAACGATCCGCAAGGTCTCTTCTCAAACAAAACATCCAGGAAAGGTTGATAGATGGGTGTATGGAATTGATGTGGTTGAGAAATTGGTTAAAAAGCTGGAAGGCCATGTGACCAAATGACAAGTGTTATCTACATATCTCTTCCACAAGGAAGGACAGGGTGGTTGTCTGGATGGCATCAGTATCAAATTTATCCATGAACACATTCACTTTCACTGGTGATAAGGGGGGACCCATGTGGGTACCTTCATTTTGTTTGTAGAAAGTACCATTCCAGATGAAGTGTTGGTAAGGCAATGTCTAACCAGAGTAGGTACATCAGGATTCAGTCCATGTCGGTCTAAGTCTTAAATTATTGCTAAGGTGTCAGGTACAGGAACCTTGGTGAACAGAAACTACAAAAGCTGACGAGCAAATCTTGGGACAGTGAAATGCCCTTGTGAGACCAAGCCAGCTGAATTACATACAGCTGAGGTAGTCTTGCCCATGAATGGAAGCAATGTGTCGGACAGAAAACGGGCCAGTTTGTCGGTAGGGCGAGTTGATCCTGGAAACAATGGGCTGATGTGGAGTACCTTCATGGATTTTAGCAAGACCATATACTCTGGGTGGTCTAGGTGGTTTTAGGGAGAGCCGTTCGATTCGAGAAGTCGAACTGGTAATGATATTGTTGGTTTTTGTAGCCAGGTGGTTCGTAGGATCTTCGTTGATTTGTGCAACTGCCATCATTAAGGTCCTGGATTGTGGTTGTATGTGGTTTTATCCACGATGACCGTAGCATTGCCCTTGTCGGCCGAGGGGACGACTCATTCCTCGTTTTAAAATTTTGAGTTCAGAGCGCTCGTCTTTGCCGATGTTACTAATGGGTTTTAGCATTTAAGGATGGTGGCAATTTCAGATCTAGCAACGTTTGACGGGATGTGTCCCAAGCATTTGGAGGGCTACGTTGACCTGGGAGATTTATATCATCCACTGGGATATGTTTAGGGGCGACTGCGAAATTCAACCCTTTAGCTAGTACAGATTTTAGGCCGTCATGAATTGGGCTGTTACTCTGATGACAATCTTATTAACATCTAATTTTTTAACGTGTGGCTCTGGCTTTTGACACGAGGTTGAATTTAAAACAATCAAGTTAACTTTACATTTGGTTGACATTGAATTAGCAGACTCATGTTATCTCCATGGTCCCAATCAGAAGTGGACTTTGTTAATATTTAGCGCGATTGCAAGACTCTTAAATTAATGTTTATGAAATGGAGGGGGAAAAACTGGATCTGGGAGAAAAATGCACAACCACAAAATGCACTCCAATTATCCAGGCGTCAGGGTTGGGATTGAACCCCCAACAACCTATAGATACCAGGCGAGGTAGTTAACATCGCCACTGTGCGTCTTGGTAAAAGGAGAGCGGCGCAAATTCAAGCAGCCGCCATACAGCACGTTAACGTGTTCAGTGGACGGGACAGCCAGCGTGCTATTTTTTAGGTTAACTATTCAAAGATATTAAAAGTTGTGTATTCAACTATCAATGTAATTTATGTATCTAGCTAGTACATGTTTCCAGATATGAACGACTTTGCAGAGTCAAAACCCATGTGGTCTAACGACTGTCGGGAGGGTCCCGTCAAGTTTTCGGGGCAGGCTGGCCAAGAATTCAACTTGATGGTAATTGTCAAGTTTGGAAAATGTTTAACCACGAGACGCCACAATGGTCTACCTCTTGCAAATGCTCACAACCTTTAAAACGTCCACTATGAAGCAGACGGCAATTAATTACGGTCAAGACGCTTTTAGTTTGTCCTAATCAGGGTGGCTACTCCACCCTTAACGATGTGCAACCGAGTGGCAAACAGACTGCCACATCAGAGCCGTCGCGGACCAGAGTGTAAGCAGGGGGGCAACCTCAAGCACCGCAATCCCTTTCCTTGTTCAGATGCCGGCAGCGCCGCAGGCCCCACAAGCCCCACAGGCACCGCAGGCACCGCAGGCCCCACAGTCAAGCCAGAAGTGCGCGTGGACTTCTTGGGCCTGGACCTGAGCCAGGGAGAGGCGACGGCGGGGCAGATCGCGCTGCTGGTGCTCGCGCTCGTCTTCCTGGTCGGCCTCATTGCCCTGGCAATCCTCTACTTCCGCAAGCCCAAAACCAAGAGCAAATCTCATATGTAGTGCAGGTCCTACTTCTGCTTTAAGACTTAATTTGGGGGAAATTCTAATTCTAGGCCTTATGGAGGAAGACTCACGATTTACAGCATCCACTGCAATCTTTTAAAAACACTACCAAGTTTCACGTTAACATTGTAATTTGGTAAACTGTAAAAAGCATAGACTCTTGTAAGTATACAATGAGACGAATAAGCAATTTGAATGCCACGCCAACTTACTATTTAAAAATCCAACATCATTAAAATAAACACTACTCCCTTTTGTTTAACTTGGCACTGCTCATTGGACCCAAAAACTACATTGGACTTCAGCGGCTGCAAACACGCCATCATGAACGAGCGCAACAGAAAATACCGGGAAACATTTTTACCATGTTCCAGGCACTTACTTTAAGGTTTGGCAACTTCTCTTCATAGTGTGGGAGCATTTGAAAAAAATCAAGATGTAAATAAATTTTATAATACATCCTTTAAAATGCAGTGGTCAGTGTTGTATTACCCGTGTTAGATCGCGCGTCGTTAAACTTGGTCACCACCCGACAGCCAATTAGTAAGGTTTGTTACGTAAACAAACATGCCAATTCGTTACTAGTGTAATGCGGGCGTAAATGGGCGGGGCGGTGAGTCCTTTTTATTACACTAGTACAGCACACTCGTGGTTGCGTTGGAGTAAACCCACAATTCCAGAGCTGTACGACGTTTTGCCCGTAATTAAACTTGCATCAACTCTGGCTGCCTGATGGTTGTAATTTACTGGTATGTCATACCGTGAATTGTAAATAGTGGGTTTGGTTTACTCTATAACATCGGGTGCTGTACGAGTGACGAATTGGCATGCGTTGTTTACGTAACAACCTTAAAAATTGGCTGTGCCCAGGGGTTTAATGACACTTATATCTTTATGGCATCCAACCCCAAAAATACCTCTTATGGATAATTGGTCACGAAAGCCTACATGTTAAGAGTTAAACTTGCAAACAGACTGCAAGTCAGGAGGCCACAGGCGAGACACGAGGACACCACCAGCTGTGGTCAGAGCACCACAGGTGGGGGGGGGGGGGGGGGGGGCACAACTTGGTACGCCGTCAAATCCGTGGGCAAGTGAGCAATCCGAACCAGATGTTTTGCATCGACCCTTTATTTTGCAAGACAAACAATGCACACCTTGTGTAAAGATTGTATCCATCTAAAAAAAGAATCTGGAAATACAAGGGGACTAGGGGTTGCCTGCAAGTTGCTTCCAAACAGGAGGAGCAAACGACACGGAACTGGGCTCCTGCTTCAGACGACTTCCGTGGAGTCCTGCAACGAAACCGCAGGAGACAAATCAAGGCTATAGGCCGTGCGTGCGCGATTCAATAAGCAGACGGCCAACAACGCACGATGCCCATGCAGCTTCAGACCTGGCCTTGTGCATCGGTGCTCGGGTCGCCGAGGCTCTCGCTGTGCCCATCTCCGATGAGCGACATCTCCTGTCCGGCGGTCTCCTTGGGCTCCGCGGTAAACGTGACTTCTGCCCGCTCGGGCGCGTGCCTGTGCAGACCGCACGCGACCAGTTTAAAAACCCCACCAGAAGGCGCACATTCACATGTCTATAAAATGGTCACACTTTACCCTTGCACAAGGCAGGCGTAAAGAGTCCGTCCACAGCCAACGATTAATAAAGCTGTAAAGGGGCATTGCGCGAGCAGTTGTAGCGAGGTCGGACCCGAGCTGCAAACCTTTCTAGCCTCCTCCGGCGCCGTCTGCGGATCACGACCACCACCACCATGGCCAAGACGAGGACGCCGATGACCGTCGCGCAGCCAAGGGCCGCCTTCACGCCGATCGCCTGCACCATGAAGAACTGGCAGTGTGGCCCACGGTAACCCCAGCGGCAGGTGCAAAAGGGCAGGCCGTCGTCTTCCTCCTCGCACGAGCCACGGCCGCTGCAGTAGTCGTCCGAGCAGGAAGGCATCACGAAAGGAGTCTCAGCATCGGTGGTCTCTCCGCTGCTAGAGGGCACTGCCGTGCTGGGCTGTGGCGCCTCCATGCTCGTTGCTGGAGTTGCTTTGGCGGTGGTTGTCAATGCAAGTTTCTCGTCATCGACATCGGTGGGAGCCGGTGGCATTAGCCGACGTGTTTGACGATTCCAGCAACGCCGTTTCAAATGCCCTCGGCTGTGAAGTAGTTGCCTCCGCTGGAGAGGTCACTTCTGACAAAAACGCATACAGTGTAGAATCATAATCTAAAAATTTCAGACCAGTGGTACCATTACTTTTACTGGAACGGTCACATGATTCGGAGTCCATTGATTGTAGCCGTTCATAATCCGAGAGTACAGCAAGGAGAAAAGTGGTGCAAGTACTCTGTGCACTGGCTGCAAACGTGGTAATTAAGGTTGCAAGTCCTCCAATGACCGAGTCAAGTGGTGACAAAACTTTTGACAAGCAATCATCGGTCAGCGATTAAGATTGCCACCCAAATGATCCCGAATATATATGTGCAATTTCAAAACTAGGCAGCATGTAATTTTCTTAAATGCCAATTCCTTTACAACCAAGGCAATTTAGACTTTAAATACAGAAGTATTCGGCCATCCCTAGGACCAAGCATCAATGTACCGGGTCAGATCTTTGAAGCAAAGAGCATGGTTGATTAGGTATTTTTATAATTACAAGCAGCTATAAACAGCACTTTGCTTTGGCAAGTGACCATGCATTAATAACTTATTGGTAGCAGCACGGGCAACGCAGCATAATAAACTACCAGCAGTGGCCAGTCAGAAGCAAAGTCCAAAACCTCCACAAATCCCCAGTGGGGGGGGGGGGGGGGGGGGCGGCGGGCAGCGGCAGCTTCCTCACGCACCACAGATTGACACAGGGATGTACACGTAACGCGAGGGCACATTTCCCAAAGGGCCGCGTATTCGGCCGACCTTGTTCGCAGCCCTCCTCGTCAGAGCCGTCGTCGCAGTCGCGCACCGAGTCGCACCACAGCAGCGCCGGCACGCAGCCGCCGTCCCCGCAGCGCCGCCGCTCGGGCTTCTCGCAGCGGCTCGGAGGCACGCACGTCGCAGAGCCGCTCGTCGTCCGCTCCACGGCCAGGGCCGGCGGGCAGGCGCACACCACCTCGCCGTGCCGCCGAACCAGGCACGCGTGCTCACAGCGGCTGTGCCGGCACGCGAGTCCGTCTGCACACACCGGGCAGAGGCGATGTCGTTCAGCGGTGGAATCCACACAGCTCCTGCCACTTACCCCGAGAACATGTGTATCGACGCCGGGAGACGAGGGCCCCAAACCTGTGGAGTGTGGCGTGCGCGACGCGGCCACGTCCACCACGCGCTGCCGCAGCTGGACCCACGGCCGGTCTCCACCTTCACGCCACAACTCGCTCGACCCTAAAAACACGCACAAGCAGGTCGCCACAAAAAGCTTCGTGACAAAATCGCACACGCTTGCGCGTTGTGGTTCACATACTAACAAGTGCCGCTATTGCGGGATATAGCGATTACTTGTTCAGTTGTCAAACGCCTCTTCTGGTAAATAGGCTGTCATACAGTACAACTATACTGCAATTCTCCATTTTTCCGCAGCACACCGGAGGAAAGCCAGCACAAGGCTCTCACGGGTAGGGTTGGTTTCCACTCACGAGTCTCCCATGTCAACCCCTTTCCAATGACGTACACATACAAACAGAAACAGACAAACGCAAATAAACCATCGGTACCGAGGCTCCCACAAGAACCATGCAGCACAGTTTGGCGCAAGCTATCGGAGTGCAGTCGGGTTTGCTTCCAGTTCTCTGCAGAGTGCAAGTCTCTAAAAACGATGCTTGGTCTCTAAATGAAGTGAACGTTTAACCGCTTGCACGTTCAAAGGTTCAGCGGTGAACGGGACCCTACCCTGCCACTTGCAGTAATCTCAAAGGGAATCGGTTAAGCCAGAAAACATAAGTCATAGGCTGGCCTCCGGGGCATCCGAATCCAAGCAAAGCAGGGATAATTGTCATGCCACGTGAGTGGTTCGGTTTTTGTAGTGGCAAAATAAACGCTGTACCCCCCCCCCCCACCCACGCTGTGCCAGTCTGGCTCTGTCGTATTGCATCGTCTACATCCAGCAGCAGTTTATAGCCGTGGATGCAGCTCATGCCGCCACCGTTCACTTACGGTTATTATTCACCACCCAAAAGAGGGCACCGTCCACCATAGTGAGGCCTGCAATGCGGGGGAGCTCACGATGGAGGATCTTGTGATCGCTGCCATCCAGCTTTACCGACTGGATCATTCCCAGCGCTGTGGAGCACAAAAACGCAGATTCGCTCCATGGCACGAACACATTACTTGCATCTCACGGTGAATGTGCACATCTCAGAAGCTGCTCTGTGAAATGTGGCTACCAAAAAGTGTATGGGAGACCGCCTGGGAGAAGCAAGATGTTGGGCATGGGATGCAAGTTGGCCTTTTACACGTACCATTTTATTTTACAGAATTTATGGAAGGTGAATTAATAGTCTAAAATGCAACCACATTGAGACCCTACAGAGTGTGGTCATGTTTCGGGAGGCAGTTATAAGCAGAGGAAGAGAGATCAAGTGAAAAAGCCTAGCTATTCTTTCCTAAAATGACTTATGTACTCTACACATAAAATATACAAGCAGCAAACCATGGAAGTAATGGCCTCGCCTTCATCAGCCCACAGGAGGAGGGACTGGTTGGTGTCCATGACCAGGCTGTCCGGACGAGCCACCCCCTCGAAAGAAATGAGGATCCTTCGCTCGGTGCCGTCCATGCGGGAGCACTCAATCCGCGCTCCGCCGCCCGCTCCCGCCTGGCCCCAGTCCGACAGGCACATGGCGCCGCTGCTCGGGCCGAGCGCCAGAGAGACAGGCCACTGCAGGCCGCCGGAGAGCACCACGACGGTGCGCGTCGACAGCGTGTCGAGGCGCGTCGCCTCGACGGTGGGGCGGTCCGCGCTCAGCCAGTAGATGTTCTCCCCAGACCAGTCCACGGCCACGTCGCGCACGGCCTGCACTGCACGGGATGCAGCACGCGGGGAGGACGTTCGTGCCGGTCTGGCGCAGTAGCGTGGGGGTGTTGGCAAAGCAGTCATATTGGAAAAAGGTGGCGAGGCTGAATGTTTGTGCGGTTTAAAATCAAGAGGGTGACAAAAATGCACTACCCAGCCAGATTGAGTTTGTTTGACCAGGAAAGTATCATTTAAAAAAAAATTAGGGATCCGACTTACCAAAATGGATGAAACGCAATAAGCAAACAAAGCAGAAAAAAACATTAGTGGAAACTGATGTGCACGAACAAATCAAGTCGGCATGTGGCCAAAACCTATCCAGTTCATAATCAAGTCGACACATTTTAATAGAGCGATTAGTGCACGAGCGTATACGTGCAAGGCTGCACGTGTCAAGTTATAAGTGGGCGCAGAATGTGGGAGCCCTCTCCCTCAGCATTACCCATCACAAGCGATTCAAGGGCAGAGTCGTTCCCGCTGCTACGATCGAATGGCACTACACGCGCCCGGCCAGACGAGGTGGCGTCTTCCGAGGCGTAGAAGAG